GCTTAGGACTCTGCCAACCCTCACTGTCCCTCCATCCGCGCAAGTGGCTATTAATTTGGGGATCAGAAGGATGGAGCTCTTCGCCAGCACCATGATCTTTGTATGTGGGGGCTCAGGGGGTAGAACACAATTTGCAGTGAATTCACACAGACCGAGAGATGGTAGAAGCGTTCATTGTGGCAGAAACTCACACTAGCCTCTCGGGAAACGGAACTTCAAATACAGCAATCAGGATCATCCCTGGCCCTGGCCGGTGCGTACAGGACGGCAACCAATCCATGTGTCTCTCACATGGATGTTTCTCTCCCCCGCCCCCACTTCCCTTCTACTCTCTCCAAATATCAATGGAAAAAATATACTCAAGTGAGGTTAAAAAAAAATAAAAATGAAAACAGTGAATTTAAAGGGTAATACACTGCAGCTAACCGGAAATGGAGGCATTCTAATAGAACAAGAAGAACCACGTGTGGTTCTAGTCCTGGCCCTGCCACAGAACAGCACTGTGCTCTCCCAAACTCATTTCCTCATCGACGCCTCATTTCCCTGTCAACCGAAGGGTCGGGCGGAAGGTGGGAAATTCTGTGCTTCTGTGATGCCAACAGCGAGGCCTTGCAGGATTCATGGTGATATGACCTCAAGGCTGGGCTGGGACAGGACACTCTGAAGGCCCCGCTCCTGGGGCTCAGGCCCGCGTCAGGGAAGCCCTGCTGCACGGAGGAGCCCGGCAGCCTCGGGGACCGAGCTGGCCCACCACCGGGGCTGCTGCTCTGCAGAAGGGAACATGTTTGTGAACCACCCTGGGGTTTAGAGAAAGCTTTCTGTTCTGTGCTACAGTTACTGCCATTAAATCAACTCACTTCCTGGGAGCAGTATCCTGGGACTCAGAGGAATCCACGACTGTTTCCTTCTCTTCTTTTTCTGTTGGTCAGAAATTTCCCTCTTCTCTGTAAATAGAGGAGAAAGAAAAGCAACCTGGTTTTTAAAATAAAACATGTAAATTGACTCATTGGACCAGCCTGGGACCTGACCCAAAAGGGCCACCATTTTCCTGGGATTTAGACATCACAGTGCTCATGGCCTTGTGACTGCCGAGTCGGGAACGTGGGGATGAAAGCACGTGATGTGGGTCCGGGAACCCTAACACGTGGAGGAGACCTGCTGAAGCACCGAGGATCAAGCTGAACGTCGTCTCCAGAGAGCAAGCCCCAAGCCACGTGAAACTCAGGGTCGGAAACCCGTGGGCCTTGACAGCTCAGACCCTGGTTTCCTTCCTGGAAAACGAGTCCCCTGGATCGAGGCGCTGCACAGACTCTGTCAGTCATGAAGCTACCGAGGTAGATGGCTACAGCTTTCCTCACTCATGAAAGAGCAAGCTTTCTGCTCTGTGTTTAAGTTACTGCCATTAAATCAACTCACTTTCTGTGAGCAGTATCCTGGGACTCAGAGGAATCCACAACTGTTTCCTCCTCTTCTTTTACTGTTGGTAAGAAATTTCCTTCCTCTCTGTAAATAGAGGAGAAAGAAAAGCAATCTGGTTTTTATTTTTTTTTAAGTATATTTTATTGATTTTTTTTACAGAGGAAGGGAGACTAGAGAGTTAGAAACAA